ATATATATATATATAAATGTATGATGGTATGATAAATGTATGATCGTATCAGGAGTAAGATAATATAGGTGACTATATACTATAATAATCTCTTATTATTCACTCCTGATAGTATATATCATTTGTGTGCGAGGGAAGATATTGATGTGCTGCGAAAAGCTATAACGCCGCTGAGATTAACTGGCAGTTTATTAGACTGACTTTAGGCCCGTGATGCGTAGTACACCTGATGTAGGGTAGGCTTGATGCGACGTATAATACATGATCAATGCTTCGAGCTAGACTCATAAGCGTTAGTGACACATGCTGTGGCTGGTCTGCATCAAAACTCCTATTAGATCAACCAGAGTTCGTTATTACAGTAGCAGTAGCTTGTAGCATGCAATAAAGGTGTCATGACCTACGTCATTTTATACTAGTTGCGATAGGCGACAGGGATGAACAACGGCCATCTACAAACATCGACTGATGTCTGAGAGCATTACAGCCACAATATATATAGCCATTCTATTATTATTATTATTATTATTATTATTAAATATTTATTGCATAGCATTCAAATACAAGTACATGTACTGAAAACTGTCTTTTTCCTGGAAAAAAATCTGATCGATGCAATAGTGCTGAGTGGTTAAAATAATAAAACTTCATAGGGATACAATACAATATAATGCTATACAACACAAAGACAAATATAATACAATAATGGCAACACTTTCTGTACAAGTAAAGTGAGTAAGGTATACTTGCAAAATCATTTCTACTCACATTCGCACACAATGTGTGCACTCAGTCTCATACAACTCCTCCCGCACATGCAGAAGAATTTGGGGGCGTTTGGAGGGCTTCCCAGCTGTATGGTGCCATTTTTTGCACACTGACTTGGCAGGTGTCTCACGCACGCACGCACGCAGATATAGTCAGTCAAAATATATCATAATAAATTCATTATTCTCCTATCTACTATATGTTGTTAAAATTGTATTTTTTTAAATTTTTTTATTTAAATATGCTTTTTTAAGTAGAGAGCTTTTTTCTGTCTAATGGTAGTCTATGCCATTGGTTTATTGCCTCCTTAGTAAGTTATGACCATACATATTATTTGTTGTTATTTGTTTTTATTTCATTTATTTTATCATTTATTCATCAGTGTCATTGAATTTAGTGTAATCATTGTTAAGTATGGTAGCGAATTATTTCTGAGTTAAAAAAATAAATCTGATTGATGTATTTGTATATACATATACAGAAGCGTAGCTAACCCATTATACCTGACGGCAAAGCCACATGCGCAGTGTGTTCTGTGAAGGTGACCGCCATTGACCACGTAATGATTCCTTTCGGTGGACTGCCCCCTTGCCACCCTCCTGCTAGCTCCGGCTCTAATATAAGTGTGCCGTATTTAATTAGGTGTTCTATTGAAGGCACTTCTAGTTGTTCTCTAATTCTACTAGCTGCTCCTGCCTATTTATATGATGTAGCATGTTTGCGTGAATCACCTTCTTATGCGTAGAGCACATTGTTTAGTGCGTTTAGTCTGTCAAGAGCTGATCCATATATAACTATATAAGGTGTGGCAAGCAAAATGATGAGTATATTTGCAGCTTTGCCTTTGTGTATAGCTGTCCCCGTGTTTGTCTGAGGAAGCTAATACTTGTACTTCTGTCATCTTGGCAAGTGCAGTGGAGACTAACATAACCACGGATTATCGTAACTCGAGTATTACTGCATATAGATATACATACACATGCACGCATGCACGCACTCGTACACGCGCGCACACACACACACACACACGCACGCACACACACACACACACACACACACACACACATACACACACACACACCCACACGCGCGCACACATACACACACACACACATACACACACACACACACACACGCACGCACACATATATGTATACAATGATAAGTACTCGTGTGTTCCAAATTTGAACTGAAATCTGGTTTTGTGACTGAGCTCACCATGTCGTGGATTATGAGCCGGCATCCGTAGCACAGCATCCCGCACAAGTCAGCAGAAGTCATCCTACACAAACAACAGCAGCAATTACATTTGAAAAAAAAACTTCTGTGTAAAATATGAATAAACATTAAATGCCCCCTGAAAATTATAAATAATATGATAAATAAAATAACACTCATAAATAAATAGGAAGGTAAATTAGCAATGAATAATTAAGGAGCTTAATTTAATATAATAAACAAATAAACACACAATACGAACGTCTTATCGTTCGTTAATCGCGAAAAAAAAACCCAGAACATGATCATAACTGCATTTATTTACCGTCACTGCCTTACCTCTCATCCCTACGCCTCTGAGAGCAGCAGGTCCCTCCATCTGGCTCTGTATTTTCGCAGCAGTTCGTTTCTGCCGGCACCTTCAAGGAAGGTGTACTTTCACATGAAGGAGAGCTCAACTCTTCTGCCTTTGTAGCCAAGGACTGAGAGTACAGAACTGACTGCAGAGCAGATGGCACGACAACAGACGTATCCAAAGAAATCTGCAATTGCATTGGTTTGAATACGCATATTGCTTATACTTTAATGCATATCGGGTCCATCGTGCCTTCAAACTGAAACTAATTTGCGACATCCCATAAATCCTCCAACAAACCTTAATAGTCTAATTGGCAAGCCTTAATTACCAGTCGTTCACTTTTGTCAATAGTTTTGACAATCCCAACACAAACGTTCTGTGTTTTCACAGCTTTATGTACAATTCTCTGATCTAATCAAGTCTACTTTTTGGGGTTGCTTACGAAATGCGTAATTGACACCAACTAATAAGCGGGGATGAATTGCCAGATTTTCTGACATACCCTGTGACATCCCCAGGGAGAACCCTGTGTGCGTGCGTGCGTGCGTGCGTGCGTGCGTGCGTATATAAGAAGTTCAGTTTTCCAAATGCAAGTTAAATTACACAGAAAATATTGAAATGCCAACAACTGGAGACATAATTATGCCAGATGATCCAGTGCATAATTATGTCTCCAGTTGTCATTTCAATATTTTCTGTATATATATATATATATATATATATATATAATGGATATGTGATAGCATTTATATGTTTTCAACGTTTCCTACAAGAAGAGGAGACAATTATATATTATATACAAAAACAAGAAGAATTCAATACTAATATAATACCAATATAATATAAGGGAAGCTGTTGGGGTACCTTACACATACAGCACTGTGCTGGTCTCTTGCTCCCTAGGTCTGTAGCCTCACATATCTTCCCTGCTGTCCTGCAATCACATAGCAAACAGACACGTATACATACATATGTGTGCGTGCATGCGTGCGTGAAATCAGTTGATGAGCAACTTTTATACAAAATGAATGGATAACATAATGCTGTCCACAATGATTCATTCCTAATAACAGCATGCTTACACAGCTGCCACATCTAATTCTATTCTTTTCATTCAATTTTCGTGATTGTTTCACGTCACACCATCTAGTCATACAAGTGTTGGGGTTCGCACCTGCAAATGGTGTTGATAGTTGATGGGAAATGCTCCTGTAGCTGCAACACAAACGTCTGTGACAGCTTCGTAATGCTAGCAGCACAACTACTCTGTGGGGAAAACATTACAAAAAATACATTAAAATTGCTCGCAAAGGGTCCTCACATTCAGAGATGTGTTATTCGGCCCAACTAAGTCTGTATAAAGATAAGGATGATGACCAAGTCAGGTATAATAAGTTTAACCTTTTTTTTAAACATTTTTATTCGTGGAATGTTAGGTTTAGATGTACACGTACTGTACTGTCTTCATTAACTGTAACATTTCGAGCATATAGTGTGAAAAGAAAGTGTAGCCTCATCACAGTTAAAACGTAACTGGAATTTTAATAAATTTAAAAAATGATAATTCACACCTGAAATAGAAAGGTATATTACTGGGTCTATTGGACAATGTTATAAAACAAATCTTTCACATTAGAACCTACACAGCTTAGAATATATTGTCTGCCATAGGCATATGACCTGGATATAAATGATTTATGGCCTTTCAATCTTGAAATATTGTACACATCACATCAGTGTACAACACTTACAATGCAGTTTTATTTTATGAAATGAACTTATAAGACCAAAAATGACATCTTGCCATATATATATTAATTGCAGCTCTTAAACTAGCCTCACACAATACAACCGTACAAGAACTCACTTCATAATATCTAACACACTACAAGTACAAAATCTTAGTGGGAGGTTTGCTCTTATCGAAATATCTGACTATGAATAGAAAGACACAGCGTGAAATGCCTGTTATAACAGGAGAATTTCCCATCAACATGTTGATGGTCAATGATTATTATGGCAAACGTCAATCCTGTGTTATGCTGGAATGACAATCATACATTTGTCGTTTATTTGCATGACTTACCTTTGTTGTGAAAGCTGCAATGGTCACGGGCCTTATGTCATGGAATCTGTTGTACATCACGATTTCCTTTCCTGTGAAATCCCTGTAGTGAGATGAATATACTAACATACTAATACTATAATACAATCTTTTATCCGAACCTACTCGCTAGCATTCTCATGCCATATCTTGGCTTCTTCCTCCCTCTCGCTCTCTCTCCCTCTTCTATTTCCACTTCATTTCTGCCTTACTAGCTTTTACTCTCGTGTCATCTCTGTTCTCTTCCTCTCCTTTCCTCATTCTATTCTATTCTACCCTACTCTACTCTACTCTATTCCATTTCATTCCCTTCCCTACCCTTCCCTTTCTATCAATTCCCTTCCTTTCCCTTCTCTTTACTTCTCATACTTGCCCTTCTGCATCCACAGTTTAGACACATAACAAGTCACCTATTTTAGGTACTATATATTAGTGATAATAATCGGGAGATGTTTCATAATCAATTATCGGTTGCAACCCATCGATCGATAATCGATTATATTCAATTAATCGGTTAATTAAATAATTAATCTAAACTACGACACATAAACAAGAGAGCAAGCCCGTTTCCATAGTATTGTTTCATATCTGTATCATAGCTATAAAGCTTCAGCATTACAAGATATATGTTTACAGGGCTTGTTTTGTCAATATATTTATATTTTATGAATTTGCTATAGAAGTAGAATGGTTAGCATTATGAATGTTTGCAGCATTGTTCTTACTTTCAATAGCTAACATCGATAATTCATTATTTATTTTAATTAATGAATACCTCATCGGTGACTGCAAATTATTAACCTTCGATTATAATCCATCATCGAGAAATCACTACAAAGTACTTCATATAAACCTTGATGGTTATTTATTAGGTAGAATCGCTTTCTAGCTAATCTATGGGTCTCATGATCTCATCTTGGCACAACCACATTAAGTACCTCCAGAATACAAGATTCAGTACATAATAACGAACCAGCAATACCAAGAATTATCTCATTGCCAACTTACATCATTGGTCTGAGCAGTACTGCAATCCCATGCCTGTCATCACTGAATCCCTTGCCATGAAATAATATTTTAAACACCGAATTTGAAATGGCAGCTCATGACATATATGAAAGTGTTCCACACCACACAGCATTGGTAAAGATAAATATAACACAATGAGCATTACAATCGATGCAATGCTTCTTAGTAGGTTTGTTCTGATGGCACATTCAGAATGATGTAAGTGCGCGACATGGGAGGAAAGTAGGAATCGGCTAATGAATGTTCACGACCCAAAGAAAGCTGCCAAAAGAAGCAGATTCGTTTTTCTGAACGGATACCAAATAAGTAGCTGCCTGTGCATACATTACAACTACTGTTTGACTGTAAAAAATTATATGTAGGATAATGCTAGTGAATGCTGAAATATTGGAATCCTTATCATTTTATTAAAAAGGTTCCAGTGTATGTCTGAAGATAACCTTAACACTGCAACCAATGACCAAATTATTCGCTAGGTTAAAAGGCAGCACAAGCAATAAATTCACCAATTATCTACATTGGCTATTCAGTTACTTCACATTGATATTGAAACAAGAACAATTGCTATTTAGCACAAATAAGACCCAATTTCATTGAAAGTAATACCAACTGAGCTTGGTCCATGTTTCGTACATTATCCATACATATGCTGCCCTCCAGTGGCCAGTTTAGACTGATTATTGCACATTAACATTACTGCAATGCTAAAAACCTCCAAGGGAAAGCCTACATTTAATGACCAGTTCATCACAGCAAATTTGTTACAATCGACTTTTGAATAATACGGGTGGTGTCTGTGCACACCACTCATGTGTATATTAAATAGGGCTGGTCGGTTGCCCAGTTATGTTCCACTTACAGTGTCAAGAGCGAGTGCAGAACCCCTTCCTTGTGCCACATTGCTCATCACACGCACCGCCAACCTTGTGCCTGTATCACCCACCATCAGTTTCGTAAAGCCCTCCTGGATTGCAATGTGAACCATGAGTCTCATACTGCAATAGGAACATCACCAATACTCTGTCAATACACAACTATGTGATGCAGGAATCAAAATATTTTGGTTAGATACGTACACATCTTATATTATTTAGGTCATGTCATAATGAACACGTTTTTATAATATAAGAACAACCACAACAATAGTAACAACAACAATAATCAATTATTACATTACCAATTATAAATAAATAGCAATAATAGTTATGTTTGCACCATGATTTGATAGTTTGGTAATGACATTTCAATTTGATAATTGGCAGCATATTACAGGTAACGGACTATGTTGTGATTACCGCAGTACGTTGAGGAGATCCTCCTTGGCTGTGATCGTCCTCGTTGCTTCAAACAGTGACGTGAGTCTTCGCTGCATGTCCACATTCGTGTGAAGCCCCTCACAGTCATCCACTCCATGGTAGGTAGAGTAGTGACATGGCTGCTCGTCGCCATGGCTATCCGCATCCTCGGCTCCTGCGCAGCCTCCACATGCCATCACCTATGCAAGCAGGAAGCTGTCAGCGTAAACAACAGCACACACTCCTAACCTCGTCCCGACAACCCTGTGGTGTTTGGTGAGTTAGCTTTGCCTCTGTTAGCCGAGTTAGCAAAAGGTCCCTCACATATCCGACTAAAATTTTCATGATTCTGCATGCTATTTAGAGCAATACACAGAAAACGAAATAGATGGTTCCTCATAACATGGTGGAAATGATTCTTTGCCGATACCCCGGAGGCCAATCCAGTAGAATGCCTCTCCTTGGTACTAAGTCAACCTTCTGTTTCAATTTATTCCCCTGCGATAGCCATGGCACAAGGGTAGTGAAGCTCATAAGAAATGCACCACCACTTACCATCTCTAGCGATGAGTAGAAGCAGGGAAACCCTGTCTTCCTCGCCGAGCTCAACACTTTCTCCTGCACATTGGATCGCTCCTGGAGACACATTCCTAGCACAGCCCCCTCTGTTGGGATGAAATGTCACTATAGAAGAGGGCTTAGTCTGATGGACTAGCATTTTATGTTTTATTCGTGGTTTCACATTACAATTAGCCAACTTCGTAAACTGCTCAGTTAAACATTTCTAATTACAGTTCATATTCTATTTCAATTACAGCAAAAAATAACCTAGATGCAAAAGATTCTAATGGTCAATGCCCACTTTAATGCTAGACTATCCGAGTTAACACCCTGTTGCCAAGATTAATGTTCATCTGCTTAGATAAGCTTTTTTATGTCTACGTTACCACCTATCTGCTCAATTGAATATCTTTCTATCCAGCTTAATTAACATTTATCTGCTTGGTTTTATATCTGCCTGGCTATGATAGTTATAGGATCAAGCCTATGAAAATTGAATAGGTGAAACCGGGATTCACTGTTAACTTATAAATAATTTCGATAAATACATTATTTTGTATACCATCAATGTAGAGAATGCTAGGAGAGAATCTAAGTCTTTTATGTACTGATTTACCGAGACCCTGCAAAAGAAACAAGGGTCGAAATAAGCGATGGTCCGCAGGGGCGTAGCCAGGATTTTCAAAGTTGTAGGCACGACTATCTGAGCGGAGCGCCACCATCGGTTGGCGCGGAGCGGACAAGAACATTTTTGGTTTTACAAACCCCCAGATGGCCGGAAACGGCCCTTCCCGAGTGTTCATTCTGGTTCCCTGGCCTCTTGCTAACTTGAGACACCTCATTCAATATCACTTTTAAACCCAAAAAACAAACGAGTTAAAATAGTGTTACGAACGAGTTAAAATGTTAAAAAACTGACAAGATCGGATCCTAGTCTTTTTCGGCGGGTAGAGTGTTGAATGAAACGGCACGCGATAGAAATGACAGCCTAGATGACAGAAGAATAGGTCACCTAATTTAGCCATATTCTTGCTACGTTCATTTCAATAGTTTTTCCTGTCTAGACTCTTAAACTCGTCCAGCAAGCTTATGGATTTGAATTATGGGTGTTTTAAAAAAAAAGATAACTTGGCCAAAAAAAGTGTAGGCCCGGGCCTACAGTGCTACATACTGGCTACGCCCCTGGTCCGATGGTCCGGAGCCATCAAATAATCAGGAGGACCATCAGATTTTCAAAGTCAATGGTCTGACGGACCATTGCATATTTTGATCCCATTTACAATAATTGAATAAACAATTACTGTATCATTTTATACATTCATTGTAGGTGAATAATTAAACCATTTTATCACCATGTAAAATCTCTTTCTTACGCTTGCACGCCACATTACTTTTAGAGAACAATTTGAAATTTAGGAGGACCATCTAAATTTCAAACTAGATGGTCCTGTGGACCATCTCTTTTTTTCTCCTTATTTCTACCCCTGAGAAAAGTACTTCAATATCACATATAAGCAGGGTTTTTATTACATATTAATGTTTTTGTAAGTACTAGGCCAATGAGCAAGCAAAAGTATCAAGAGAAAAAACGGGTCCAAATGGCATATTTATTTGGCATCCCACTTGTTTTTTACTCCATAAAAACTAAACTGAAAAGATCTTTCCTGCCTCATCCTTTACCTCATTCACTAGGTTTAGCATAGCACAGGACGCCTGGCCACCAGAAACTGTCAGTAGTACTTTTTCCCCTTCACGCACTAGTTTCGACTTGCCAATAGTGGCTCGGAACTTGTGGGTAAAATATGTCAGAAAACACTCTCTGTAATAAACAATTAATCATATGAAATTCGTAGTAATGCATACCTATAGTCAGTGCTTTACAAAGGTAGTGACACTGGTGTTTACGGAAAACGTTCGTTTCACACTTTATTTATTTATACATTTAATTTTAATACTAAATTAATGTGTTCAATCTTTAGGAGTTTCCATATAAAAAATGTACTAATAGTCTATTTTCTATTGTCTTTCTGGACTAGCCATTTTCCAGGATGTTTCTAGACCTAAAAAATATCATTTTAAAATTCCCACTTTCCAGCTCTCCCAAGAGTAGCATGAACCTTGTGTACTACGTATTATAGAGAGTGCATGAGTAAAATGTTAAGATTACTGAACATGACAAATATTTTTACCTGCAAAATGCATCATTAACACGTACGACGACCACAGGCTTGTTGTCACACTTCATACACTTGTTCTTACTGTAACATTACATACAATTATTATATTACATTATATATACATTATAACATGATACAAGCATATAGATATTGCAGGTAAAATACATATACATAATACGTGATCATCTACCAAAAAATACATATACAAATGGCTCTCTTGTTTTTTGATATTTTGAGGTCATTTCGATACTCATGCCTTGTGTTACCATTTAGAAGAATATCGATTGCAGTGCAGAATCAAAAGATGATCATGCCCTTTTTTATCTGATATTATTTATATATGATTAACTATCATAATATGCATATACGCCCATCATGTACAATCGCTTTATATGAATTTAGTTTTTGTGATTGGTTTTCCTCAAATCAGCAGCCTTGCGACACCAATTACAAATTACCAAGTACCTGTTATCATATGTTTATAAACTATTGTGCCTACGATGCACTGTTTACCACAGGTTCACAGCACATGCACCTGGAACGTTTCAATAACAAAATGATGGTAAATAAACACGAAATGTATTTACTACCAAAGTCTCAATGTTTCTCTACGTCCTTTCACATATTTTGGCTATTATTAGTAATAATTTTCTGTAATTTGTAAACGTTCATAACTTCATTGGCCAACCAATTGTGAATTGAGTAGCGCATGATTTAAGGAGCTTTGGGATCGTAAATAGGCACTTGCTCCCATTTACATTTTGGTGGTGGAGTTTTCTGCAGGAATTCACCAGATATCTCTGGGTAAAGCGTGTAGTACCAAATGGCAAGTTGGCAATGTTGTAATTGTGGCTGTAAGTGTAAGTGACTAAAAAAGTGTAAAGTACTAAATTATAAATACTATTAGTATTACTAGTAGTAGTACTACTAATACTACTAGTACTACTGCTACTGGTACTACCAGGAGTAAGATAATATAGGATCCTATAGATCCTATATATATATATATATATATATATATATAATGG